TATAATCACCTAGTTTTGCTCACTCTTACTGAGGTTACTCAGAGTCCTCTTCAGGTGAAATAATCTTCACAATTTTACCACTTCACGTAGCTAATAAATATTGTGTTACACCTCTCCAGTGCTGAACTGCAAAGCATTTAAATTTTAACCTCCTTTCATGCTGAAGATAGGCTATTCATTCCTACTATTTTCTTTACGAGCATTCAAGCCCCATGACAGAATTTAATATGTGGAGGATCTGACTAGCTTCCAATTGCAATGGACTATACCAAAGACTTGCTAAATTCCAGTCCTCTCCCAGGTCTCGTCAATGTTTCATGAACTTCCTTGTAGCCAAAAGATATGGGAATAAGAACAATGGACTTTGAACTTGGATACATTATTTTTTATAGACTCACAAATTAATTCAGGCTGGAAGGGACATTCAGAGGATTTTAGTCTAATGTTCTGCCCAAAGCAGGGTCAGCCTTCAGATCAGTCCAGGTTGCTTAGAATTTAACCAGTCAGATCTTGAAAACCTCCAATAATGAAGACTGCATGACTTCTCCACTTCTTAATTTAGAAATCTGCTGCTTCTACCCCACTTAGTGACATCAGAAGGAAACATTGATGTAAGCTGTAATTAAAACTGCAGATACTTGAAACTAAGTCCTTTGTAACCACTGTGAGCCTTTCCAGGGGGTTCGGGGGACTCTGGCATATGCAGTGAACACAAGTCGAGCCACACTCATGGTTTTCCTCCATGCAGAGGGAATATCTTCAAGCATTGGATGACCACTTGGCCTAGATATTATGGAAGCTACAAACAGACTATTAATCATTCTTTCCTACTTGGAAATTATATGCAGCACCTTTTTACTGTACTTTCATCCTTCAGGCAGTTTTTGTTTGACATTTGTAGCTAAAGCAATTGAAGAAAGATAGAAATGGTTTCATGGGCAACATCAACAAGTGGCAATTAAACTGTGATTTTCCAATTATTTTCTCATTTGTACACACCTCTGAGTTTCTTGTTCCTGCTGTTATATTAGTTATGCCTGGTCCTGTCACTGAGCAAAGACTTTGAAGATTTCTCTACTCCCATTTCTACATTGCTGTGATTTTTCTGTGTATAAAAATAGTTGGAGTAGCACCACTACAGACTGAGAAAGTTGTGTTTATGAAATCATTGTCAAGGACACTGACATAACTCTGCTGGTCATTGCTTGGTGAATGGTTGAAGGGCAGTCCAGGGCTCTTCTGAAACCCAACTGTGAGTGAGTTTGCTCCTTGCAAAAGTCCTTCAATTTCTTTTATGAGCTGGTTCAAGATACTTGGATTATGAAATTAGTGTTTCAATTTATTCTCTTAGCTAAGGAAATGTATAATAGAAAAACCCTGAAGTTAAGGCACTGATTTTCACACCCTGTTGTTTGAACATGCTGGATAATGGAAAAATATTTTCTGAAAAATTGATGTGTAGTCAAAACAGAGTTTCACTTAGTTAACATGTTTGGATTCAAACTGCTTAACTAAAGAGTTTTTATCTTCTAAATCCTCCTTCCTACATAAACAGTGGTTTTACTATTTAAATTAATTTAACTTCAGTATTTATTTAAAGGAACTATCTGTCTTTTGTATAACAGATGCTGGAAGCCTTCCATTCAGAATATATCCAGCAACTTTAATTGTAATGCTCCTAGATCTGTTAAATCTTCCCCTTGACTGTGTTGAACCCTCCCGGCCCTGTACCTAGCAGGCAATGGTCAGTGGAAGGACAGAGCAGTGGCCTTGCTCTTCTGCAGCCTTTGGAGCTTTCAACAAGCTCCCTCTGGAGAGTAGCGCTTTTAGTGCCATGCTGTAAACTGAGGACAACCACATAGCAGAGTGCTGCTGGAAGGCATGCTCTTCACAGTGACCGTGTGCTTTTCTTTCGCACCTGCCGTGTGAATCTATGCATCATGAGCATCTCCAGGCATCTGATCCCAAAACAGCAGCATCTTACTTAAGAAATGTGTTCACCTTTTGGCTTAAGTTAGCCCCTGACTTTCATCTGCTGTAAAAGCAGTTTAAAATAGCCTATATTGAGATCTGAGGCACAGTTATGTGTCTACCATGTTGCCTCAGGGGACTGAGGGTTTGGGCTGCTCTGTGCAAGGTAATACACGCTGTTGTACCTGCCCCAGCTACAGTCCTGCCTCTGAGCAAAACGAGCAAAGTTGTCAGAGTCCACTGTGGGGGAACATCCCTTATGTCTGTGTGCATCTGTATTAAGTATCAGCCACTGCCTGAATTAGTCACAGAACGATAAGCACAGATCTAAGCTTTCCACTCAACTTTCTGAACATTACAGATGCAACTGCATGAAGAATATATTTGATGATACATACAGTTGTCAAGTGAATTGGTCAATATCTTTTCTGGTGGTAATAAAAATGTATAGTCATTTTAATGGTGAAATACCATAGCAGATATTCAAATTATTTAAACTCATCTTCTTAAAAAAAAAATAGAAAAGTCACAGTCTTGTAATGAGCTATCCCTAGGTGCTGCATTGTTATACACATGGCAATAGCTCATAAGGCTGAATTTCTCCTTTGGATCAATTTTATTCTCAGTTTGGAATGATGTTTAATGTATCACTTATTGTAGGAAGCCATAGAAATGCCCTAATGTACTTGGGTGTGACCCTCAATCTTTTTACCCACTTGAGAATTGCAGAGTCAGATTGTGCTTGTTAAACTTTGTGAAGACAAAGTTTAAAATATTTAATTCAACAGTCAAAACTATGATGTGCTTATTTCCATCAAAAGTCATTGCTGTATTTTCAAATCATAGATCAACTAAAAAGACTATTCAACATGAAATCACAATTCCAAATCTTATCAGAATTATCAAAAAACAGAGAACATTTTGTTACTAGCAAACATATTTGATACCAGCTGAACAGTATCTCTTCCAAAAACCATCTCATCAATTGAGACATTAGATATAACATTACATATAAAAATGTATAGAATTTCCTACAATAATTCTACCATATAGAAGTTTTATAATATAAGCAAAGATATTTAATCCTACAGTTTTTCTGTAACTCACAACTTTACACATGTGAAATCAGGGAAAGGAGAGGTTGTTTTGAGATGGTAAATATGACAAGTGACTACAGGGGAGAGGAAAGAGTAGTCAGAGTTTGTAGGTTTGTGCATGATATGGGCTTTAGGAGAGATTTCCCCTTATATCACACGAACTAGAGCTGGTGCTGAATCCGGCAATTATAAGTAGCCTGTAAATTGTGCAGGGGAAATAGAGTATTTCACACTGAAATATTGGTATAATTTTAAATTTCCATTCCAGATGGTAATTCATAGTGAGATCTTTTTCTTTACACACATACACATCCTATATTATTTCCAAGTGTGCAGGGAATGATTCTAAGTAATTCCTTATTTATCCTACGTTTCCCCAGCTGCTGCTGCACAAATTGTAAACATAGTCTTAGTGTATTTCACAATTTCCTATGATTCTCAGGAAGGGCTAGAAAGTGTGGAATTCAGTATACTAAACCGTAAGCTTCCTTCACTTGCCAATAAAGGTGTGGAGTTTGGGTGATGACTGAGCTCATATCATGCAAGCAATATACATATCGTAATTGTTATTGCTATCTTATTGTCATATGATGTTCACTTTAGAAGTAATTCTCTAATTAAAGTTAAAAACCCCAAAAGTGTTCTGGTGTAACACATTTTCCTTTTGCATCATTTTTTTATTTATTCCATTTATGGATACATTGGGAAAAACTTGTTAGCAAAATCTAAGTACATATTAGTATGTATTTCAGTTAGGACAAGATTTCCCAGGAAACGTTTAGATTGGAATAATCAAGCCATCTCTTGGCTAAAAGAAATTACACAGGTGGAAGCATTTGAAGTTCATTTGCAGACTCATTCAGCAGTTTGACAGTTTACAGTGCCTTGTCTTTTGAGACAAGTGGAAAATTCAGCCTAAGGGACAAATGTTTTGCTCAAGGTGAACTGACGCATCTCCCACTCTGGCAATGCCACACTGAGAACACGGCTTTGAAATTGCACAAAGCACAGGCTGCCAGTGAAAAGGCAGCTCCACACAACACTGCCTCATCACACTCACCAAGCCGCAGGGTGAGCCAAACCAGGGACCGATCCGTGCTGGCAAAGGGAAGAGATGCATTTCCTCCAGAACAGGTCCACAGCACAAGCAAAGACGCTGGACCAAGAAAGAGGGTGGGAATGCCCAACAACGGTGAGAAAAAGCTGTCTCCATCCCTCATGACAGCAGCATGAGCTTAGATCAACAGAAAATGATCCTGAAAGTGAATCACTCTAGGGCAGTGTTATTCTCTTGTGCCAAGAACAGCTGAGTTGAGCTGATACTTCAGCACATCATAATCTCCATCCTCCCTTATCCTTGCTCCTTTCCCCAGCATAGTACCTGCCATTACAGCCAGCCATGTGAGGACTTGGGGTCTAAAAGGAGAGCTGCTAGACTTACCCAATTAGCATAAAATAGCTAGCAGGACTCTACAATATGTGAGTGATCATGCATGTGAGCATGGCAGATTAGCAGAGTCTGGCAGAAAGGGTAGATCACCAGTGTTTCCAATTAAATGATTTCTTGGGTCTGTCAAATGCAGAGTCCCTGAGGCAATCAGGCACCTCCTAGATACAAATCTTCCTTCTTGTTGTTTCCACTGCTATAAAGAATAAAGTACATGATCTTGAAAACCAAATCCATGTCAATGCTAAACATATGAAAACAAAACCACATGAAATGGAAGTCTAGAGACCCTCTTTAGTATTCATGTTTTCTAGGGCAGCAAAAAGATGTAGATAAAAATCACTTGCCTTTATGTATGATATGACTTTCATTGTTTTTGTAATGAATTAAGTTACTTGGCCCTCATAACCAGATGGGAAAAATCTTTAAAATTGCAGGTTTTCTTTGGGTATGAAATGTAAAGCATTCCTTTCTTTATTTTACAGGGACATCAAACCTGATAACATATTACTGGACGAGCATGGTAAGTGAATATTGACTGCTTTCTCTCAGATATCTCTAATTCTTGAGATCATAGTGACATGCTCATGACATGCCATGTAAATCAGCCTCAGATGCCGGGTTCCTACCTAAACCTGGACTTTCTCTGCAAAATGTCTCTGTCCACCATGTGGATTTTGTAATTTCCCCTCTTATTGCAAAAAAAAAAAAAAAAAAAAAAAAAAAAATGCTGATCTGACACTTGCAAGACCTGAAGAAGAAGGAATTTAATATAAATTGAGATCAGCAGGGACACGTGATGAAAAGAAGTTAATATTTTATTAACAGGATTACTGTTATCACCATAATCCTTTTTTAGGGACCTATCAGTAGAACAGTACCAAGCACTTACTTCCTCTTTCAGAACTTCTGAAGGGCTAAGAAATTTCATATAGCAAATTATTTCTCATGTAGGTATCTGAAATTAGTTTCCTAAGTTTAGATGCGGATTTTGGAAATTTGTGTCTAAGTCTGCAAAATTTTTATGGCTCTACATGTAGTTCTGACTTAAATAACATAAAAAAGACTAGACAACATAATCAGCTTTGAACTTTCAGTACTAATTTCATCATCTCAAACAAAAAAGGTGTGGTGTTAAAAAAAAAAGAAGGCAGCTAATTTCTTTAAAGTTAAATTTTACACATATATGCTATCTATGAAGTATTTTGCTAAAACCTCATGCATCTTTTTGCAACTGTTCATAGGTAGAACATGGGAAAATAGAGGTAAAGAAGGCATTAACCTTGGATCAGTTACAACAGAAATATGTACAGGAGGAAGACTAAATGGAAAAAGGAGATGTGTGTTAGCTACTTTGTCTTGCTGTGCTTTGTTCACCACAAAAATTGACTAAAAGCAGTTAATCTTTGAGAAAAGATAAACCTGAAATGATGCCAACATTACCATTACCTTTCAAAATCCATTGCAGAACTGCTGGATATACAAGTTAAAGTTGATTAGAGAGGTAACATGAGAACAGCTAGGATTTCACTCTAGGAATACAGAAGCCAACAAAGCTAAGTAATGTTGAAGTTTTACACCATCTAGAACTTCAGGATTTTAATGTTTCAGATCCATAAGTGTTAATGTTCCCTAGACACTAATATCAGCAAATAAGCATGAAATAGAAATTTCTTGTCTTTAAGTCCTGGGTGAATTAAAGATGTCAAAGGCAACAGGAAATAACTACAAGTGTGTTAAATCTGATTGACAGTCTTCGAAGTACAGTTGCCCTTATCTCTCCTTGCCCCTCATCAAGGTCAATTACTGCACAAAATCAGCCTCTTGTGAGAGCTTTCCTATGGGGGCTCAAGTGTTGCAAAGAATAAGCTACACTAGAGTGAGCGTTATACTGCAAAATGAAGTTTTTTGTGATTATAAGCACTTCAGCAACAAAATTATCTGTAGCCAGCTTGGAAATTTGTGGATGGATAGCCCCTTTTCTGCAAAGCAGCAGAATATTGCTCCCTCATCACGCACCTGCAGACAAGCTGTGAAACAGCCATGCTTCTCCAGACTTGCAGATAGACCTTGGTCAGCAGAATTAATCAACTCATGGATCCTTGGTTCACAGACCTGTTATGTGTCTGGAAGATGTAATTCTCTCAACCCAGAGAAGGGTCCACACACTTCAACTCACTAAATGAGGTGACATCAGTAGGGCAAGTGTCTGTACCATGCTCATCACCACAGGCTTCCTTTACAGATAACTGAAAGACATAGATGTGTTTTAGAACATCTGTTCTATTTTGGATGTCTTCACTATACACCAGTATCTATTTCTCTTTGGTGACCAATATCTAGAAGTTTTGAGTGAAGATACAGATATCCTCCTTATAGATGTATGTTTTGCAAGATGAATGCCATCATTGGAGTCCATAAAAGCTTTGATTAAGCTGTAACTTAGTAACATCATTTTTACAGAATCATCAGATTTCACTTAATGGAAAAATGTGCTGAATATATGCACAATAAATACACTAAACTGTAAAGGAAGCATAACGAATTCTCCTAATACAAGTCTAACTAGGTGCACAGGAAGGAACTTTATTTTAGCCTCTGGCCTCTAAGATGGCACAACAGTTTCCTATATGCTTGACTTTACCCCCAGGTCTTTCTTACAGTGCATAAAAAACCCTGTGCTTACACAAAGTATTATGGAACACATATGCACAACATTTAGGACTGAAAGTTTATCTCAGTGAGTTAGATTTCTTTGACCTCTCTGAAGAAACCTATTTTGGCTGAAGTGTTATGCCATTAACATTGCCTTGCATCTTCAAGCAGTTAGATTGACTGACTTTCATAACATATACCTAGATTATAGATAGTTCTGCTCATTAAAACTCATTTCACTACAGTTTATCTGTATGGCTTAGGGAACATAACTCAGGAATACAAAAGTAGTGAAAACAGGAGATTTTTATTAACCCATAAAAATGAACAATCTAATTTACAAAGAAAAATCCAGGAAAATATATACAAAATATACAAAATCATTCTGGGAGACGAAGTCTGAATATTCCCATACTTTTCAGCAAAGCCACATCTCAACACTGCTGAGCACAAATTTGGATGCATCAATGGAAATAAATGTTTGATGATCATGAGAAACATAATGCTACATGAGAATGGGGCAATCAGCTACTTAAAATAGTGTTCATGCCCTACCAGAAAATAATTGCCTGGTCTGATGAAGACATTCTCCATCCCATATAACTTGGAGGAGAGAAAATAGGGATGGTTTCAAGGTTCACTATCTGAACTGGAATCAGATGTCTCTAAGGAGATGAATGCTGTCCATGAAGCTCTTCTGTTACATTTCTTTCTCAGCTTTCCCAGAAAGATCTTCCTCTTATGGCTAACACTAATCTCTGAATTTAGTAGTAGTGCTCTGTTCTGCTAACATGCATTTGAAACAGAATCATTCCAGTGATAGCTGAAGGGACTACCTGATGGGTCAGGAGAGCTATTATTATTGTATTGTACAGGAAAAAAACATTATAGAATTATCTCGATAACAGTATTCTGTTTCCTCTCCTATTCCTTTCATTTTAATGGTTTAGAACAATATAACTGAAATGACAGCTTTTAGAACTGAAAGCTGGAAAGTCTTGTCCACATTGTATATTTTCTGAAATACCAAAGACATTAAAGATGTCTAAATCTTTCAATGATCTATTAGCTATGAAGCCTGAGGAGATGTAGAATGCCAAAAATGAAAAAAACCCACAAAACCCCAAACCCAAGTAGTGGCATAGAGATTAGTTCATTGCCTTTTTTTCAGAGATCATAATATTATTTCTATAGCTATTTGGTAGCATCATTGATATTAACATTTCTGGTCATTCTGCAGAAATCATGAGGGTCTACTTTGGCATCCAAGTTTTGCATTGTGCAGAGTGACCACACCATTGTTACACTCTGCAGGAAATTTGCAACAGTTTGATTTCCTCTCAGGCAAGTTTTTCAGGACATAGTTTCATAAGACCCAGCAAAGTCCCTCCTTCATTTACCATGGAATAACTCCCTGGTGGGTCAGACCCAAGACCTTGAATGGTATTTTGTCACAATCAATGTCAAGGGGAGATGCTATTCATGGAGTGTGCTCTTTGCCACTTGGTCACCTCATGCTTTAGTGTTTTCTATCACCCACAGTTTTTGTAATAGGATATTAGAGTATGTCTGTATATTCTCTTTAGAATCTGGATGAATCTTTATTAATGAGTTGGTCTACTGCCTCTTCGAAGCTGCTGCTGTTATTGGCCTCTACAACCTCCAAGTTGTAGGAATTCACCATCCTTCGTGAAAGAAAAGTGTTTTCTTTTATGTGTTGTGAAACATTCTTCTTTCAAAAAAAACATCTTCTACATCTAGAATTGCAGTATTTGGTGAATAATAGCTTACAATCACAATCCTCATGATATTCAAAAACTCCTTCAGCACTCTCCTGTCAGCTGAAGAGACTCAGCCATTTTAGTTTCTTATAAGGCACTTCTCCAGTCCTTTTGTCCCTCTCTCTTGCCATAGATATTGTTACAAATATGCAGGCTTTCAGTTTCAGAGCAGAAGAGTTTCCTATCTCCAAGAGTCTCCAAAAAGTCAATGACAGAGCAGGATATAAAATGAGACAAGTTTTTGTGGTACTTGCCCCACATACTCACCCAACATACAACCTTTTGTGACTGGGACATTTCCTGAGCTAGATATGGTTTTCACACATTTAATAACTTTCAGTGGTCTTTTCCATGGTCTTTTCTGTTGCTTCCTTTAGTGGAGGGAACTTTTAACATCCTTAACATCTTGTGCAAAGTGGTCCTTAACTTAAACAGAGATTATGTGAAGACTCTATCTGTTCATTCTGAAGTTGCTACCTGCTAATTGCACTGAATGCCTCCTACTTCTAGCCTTGAAACTGTTTCATGGTGGTTCAACATATTGAAATCACAGACCTAATATTTCACTCTTAGACTTAACAGGGATAATTATATTTTATCAAGTTTGTGGGTTTTTTAGACTGGCTTTTTGCATCTGTTAGTGATAATTTTACTCAGTAATAATTTCTCTTATGAGAAAGGCAGATTTAAGCTGTCATTTGTATGTACCTTATTATATATGATTATATTGGTTTATGTTCATCAAAGTTTTCCTTAAAACTCTGTTTCCTTGATTACATGAGAATCTTAGCTCTCATTTGAAAACTAACATCAAAATTGAAAGATGCATCTAATGAGAAATCTTGGTCTTAAAACCAGAAATTATTTCAAAAACCCCACCCATAAATTCAGTATTTTGATCCCTGATATTAATTTCTGAACAGAACTGGCAACATTATTACTGTATAGTGATTTCTGGGAGACAGAAACTCTCCACTACAGATATACCTGGTGTGTCTGAACTAGTGCTGGTCATTATCATACCCACAGGCCATTTTCAGGGACTGTATCTCATTTAACACTCCAATGCTGATTAACAAGATGAATGTTCTCAGCATAATTCATCCACCTGAAGCTATCTACAATTTGAAAATAAATTTGAAACTTTTATATCCCTATATGGTCATTAAACAGCCTATCGTTCTGAAATTCACAGCCTCGCTGAACCCATCTATAGCGTAGAATAAGGTTTCTAACAATCTCCCTGATGATAAGTGGCAGACTACCAAGTCATGCCAGGTTCACGTGGATATGAGTATATGCTCTTGTACAGAGTACAGATGAACCCAGAGAGAGGCTTTTAAAATTGTTCATAGGGTTTGACCTTCTGAGGGCAAACCATATATGAATTTGCTCCAAAATGTTACTGTGTTGAGATTTCAGCTCTGATGCATGCTGAATTTGTGGCATTAACTCCAGTTTGGCATTTCTTCTCTCTGCCCTCTCATTCACCCCTTTGGTTCCAGACAATGAGGTTTGAATTCATGTACATTTTCCTCTGCTAAATGTTAGCCAGCCAGCCTCAGCCACCTTTCAGGACGTGTTTTAATAGTCATTATGAATTGTGTAAAAATTAAATAATAGTCCAAATAAAGATTATTTGCTGGTTACCTCGGATACTGGGTTTTCAGGCCATGTGGAAAAGTGAGGCATAAAAGCCACAGAGCATTTCTGAAGTGCATGCATAAAGCTTCTTAAAGTCATACACTGTGCTATAGGTATTAACTTGCAAATTTTCCCTGTTAAAGCCTTAACTGGAAGTTGACTGTAGGAATGCAGTTTTGGAAACAATTTCCACTGAGCTACTTTCTGCTTGCAATGTACGTGTTGGCCTATGTGAAATCTGTGCAGTCTGTGATGATCTGAAAAAGTCACTTTGCAGAGTCAGAGGAATGTGGTCATTTGTCTTTTCTTCCCTTCTCTCCACCATCATCTTATTATCATATGGATTCATATAGCCATTGGGATTAAGCAAGAGCTCTTTTCCTGTGATACCTGAATTTAGTTAGGTACTGATGAATCTGTTATTTACTGCTTTGCTTCACAGCTCTTAAAAGCTAAACCAAAGTGTCACTGACGTACTGCTTAGTTCAATATTGTACCAGGGTAAAAACTAGATTTTGACATTTATTTATTCACAATAATATCCAGAAAGAGAGATCAAGTACAAACTGTGAAGCTCAGATGATAAAAAGTTCCCATGAACTGAAATTTTGGAAACAGTATGAAGTAGCTGGTATCCCAGCATATTTACTGCAGCAATAGCAAACTTTCCTTTTCCTATATGCAACAGTTGCAGTAAAAAGATGTCAGAGAGGCTGATTAGGAAGACTCCTATAGAGAATAGGGGTCTAACTGTCTCTTGAAATATTCACACTAGGAATTAAAAACTTTTTTAAAACAAACAAAAAAACCCCCACAAACAAATAAATCACTAGGCTTAAAAGAGTTGAAACCATTCAGGGGTGCGTGCAGGCAGGCAGAGCTCAACCTCAACATCCCTCCAGCCCTCCTCCACTGCCAACAGGCACAGAGGGTTTACTCCCCACCATCCCCACTGTGACTTGGTTCCAGACACAGCCTCTCTCCATGCCCCCAGCTCCCACCAGCTGCTGGGTGCAACTCCTGCAGCAGCACAGCCGTCCGCCAGCCCATGGGACACCTTGCTTTCCCTCCATAGCCAGTTAGCAGCCCTCTGAGCAGTGGGGTGACCCTCTGATGGGGAAGAGCAAAGGTAGAGTTTTTCCAGCAGTACAGACACGGCTCTGCTGTTCCCTGCTGTATGTACAGGAGCTGCCCATTGCTGCTCTATCGGCAGCAGGATGAAGAGGAGCTATACAGAACCTGTCTTCCCAATCCATCCCTTACCTTGCAGTAAAGCATTTTTAAGATAAACCATCAACCAGTGTATACAACATTTCACATGTGCTATTTTGATTTTGTTAAATGAAAAGAAATCTAATAAAAGGGAGAGAAAACAATACACTGCAGGAGAGGCAATTTTCATTACAAATCAACTATTTGAATCAGTCTGAATGGATATTATGTGATAGGTGTTCTGCAGCAGTCTATCGTGCTGGCACTCTAATAGGGAGCATCACTTACAATGCTGTCATTTAAATGACAGAACTTAATATTTATCTGTCAAAAAAAGATAAAGTATTAGTCTGCCGAGATCCTTGCATCTTTTCATTCCTCAGTGTACATGGAATTGCTTAAAACTACTGCCATGAGGTGGCTGTATGTGGTTCAATTATCATTTTCAAGAAGCCTTCTGCCATGGTGTTTTATTACTGCAGAAATAAACTGCAAACATGTTATGCTCCAGCCATCAGGAAGAAGGAATACCACTTTGAAATCTGACGGCAGGCTGGGCTGTGAACACTTATTCTTGTTATGGCAGCCTAACACCTCCTGCCCCTTATAAAGTGATGGCTTTCGTCTGCTCACAGTTTTTCATCTGCTATGTGCAGACGTCTTCCTGGGCTGGGTGCCTCAGAAAGAAAGTGTTGATAAAATGTAAGCAGTTTTTTTGAGAAAAGCGCAGAAAACATGCAAACAATTTAATCAAAAACTTTTACTGTGTCACCCATTTGCAGAAATAGCTTTCAGTTTAGCAGTGGATGTGCCTTCTTCCTTCTTCCCTTCAAAAACAGCTCCGATGTGACCAAATTAGGGGCCTCTGAAAATTTCAGCTCACACTTGTAGCTGCAGACTTGTTGGAGGTTGGCAGATACATCTCCTGCAGACTTTGAGCAGGATCTAGCTTAGACTGTCAGAGCAGCATAATCTTTTGTTGAGACTGCTGTTCCTCCATCAGGCACCACAGTATTGTTCAACATCAGTCATTTGTTACGCTCTTTTCATCTTTGTCAGCAAACACAGGAACAACCTCCCTCACTTAATAACTGCATCATGCCCAAAGCCTGCTCCATTCTATGGACTGAATGAGGTTGAGATCTTGAAAAAAAAAAAAAAAAAAAATCACAGGAACCTGTCACTCAAGACTTTAGTTCAACACATGATATATTAATCCTGATCTGAGTGCAGAGCTAAACCGGGGAAGAGAATACCTTTCCGTGTACTCTGTCCTCCACAATGGCACTGCCAGATGTAATCACAGAGAGCATAATATCTGCATTATTCCACAGTATAAAACTAGTCCTTAAGAGGAAATTCAAAACCTAACAGAAGACTTATAAAATTGAAAGTCTGAAGACTTTCAGGCTGGATTTATATTCTGTTTACCTGACTATGGCAAGCCAGGATTAACAACTATTGCTTCACTGTGGTGGAGAAATTTAACCTATGCTTGTTGTAAACTACCCCAGGAAAATAGTAATGACAGCAGGTTTGGGCCATCCAGCCTGATTAGTTCAGTTTAAATCAGCTGTCTGGCTAGTCAGGCAGCAAGTCCTCAGGCTGACTTCTGTCACTTATCTTTCATCTTGCATACTGCTGTCAAATGAGTGATCATCTGGGACCTGCTGCTGCTACATACACGTTCTTCTGCTACCATGGATCTAATTTTATAGTTATTCTATGATAAAAATACCCTTTTTCTTCTCAGCTTCCTTTTTGCCCTGAGGAGACTCAGAAAAAGCCAGGCTGATAGTAACCTCCAGTGGATGTGATAGCAGACAGATGTCACAAATACCTGAGATTGTGAGGGGTGCTCTAGGTGGAGATAAGGAGAGGTAGATTTCACACATAGCTTCACGTGCTGCTTGTGCCTGTTACTGCTCTGAAAAAACAGTTACTGTTCTTAACGTCCACAGCAGGGGAAGGTTCAGAGGTGATCAGTAATAAAGGTTCAGCACTGTGAACAGGTAGTAGATGCAAATGTACAAGAAAAGTATTCTATCACTTTTCTGCCAATATGATTTTTCTAATTATGAGTAACATTTAATAGCAAGTTTCCATGAATTGTTATGAATCTTTCCAATTTAATTTCTTTCCATTATCACTTAAATGTTAAACAGAGGGAGGAATATTTTTATGATGTGCTATTTTAACTTCTGTTTTTACTTTGTGTAATTGCAGGACATGTTCACATCACTGACTTTAACATAGCAACCATAGTGAAAGGCTCAGAAAAAGCTTCTTCTATGGCTGGCACAAAACCCTATATGGGTAAGTTTTCAAGACCATTTTAAAAATGTAAGAAAAGTCACATATTAAGATTGACTAATGGTATATTAAAAGTACTTTAAGTTGCAAATGCATATAGTAAATATGATCAACTTCTCTTTTTTTTTGACAGTATATATGTGTTAGCAGTGAAAAACATTGGAGATGGAGGGACTGGGCAGGAGCTTGGTTCTAGTCAGGTTCCATTTGGTTTTGTGAAGCAAATTCAGGAGAATTTCAACTGTGTTACTTCCTGAAAACCCCCACACCTGGAGACAATAATATATGATTATATTTGCACCACTGTGGCAATGATCTAGCAGAGAACATGGAATGTGAGCTTAAAAGTATATAGGCACATCCTTAATTGCTTTGCTATGATGAGTTCCTCAAAAATGTGTCGGTTTAAAATTAAAGCTGTATGTAACTTACCACTTAAGTGTTTGCCCTATGGCTTTTAGGGGCATTTTATATGTTTTATTTATGTATTTTAAATGCATAGATAGATTGAAGGCTGGGAGAGTAAAACTCAGTTCACCTGTCCTCATGTGTCTAAAAATTAAGCATCTTGGCTAAGTTAATAATTCAAACTTCCCCTGGAGCTGAAGGACAGTAGGCATATCCTGAAGGTCATTTGTCTCACCAGTTAGTCTAGCTTCAATGACTAGGAATAAGTGTAATTTGTCCTATTTGTGGCTTCCTACACATCTGCTGTTTTAATTTTGTCTGTAGACGGAATTGTCATTGCCTGAGGAGCTGACTAGTTTAAGACTAAATATATTTGGGTTCTGGAAACCATACTAACAGATATGTGTGTTTCCAAGAGACTTTCTCTCGCAGACATGCTCAGACTACATCTAACACCCATGCAGTGGTAAAATATCAGTAAACGATCATATTATGAAAATGTCATTCAGGGATCCAAAGGCCACTGAGTCACCACACTTCTGCATATTAGAATTACAGAATCATAAAATGGTTTGGGTTGGAAGGGACGTTAAAGATCATCTTTTTCCAACCCCCCTGCCACGGGCAGGGACACCTTCCACTAGACCAGGGTGCTCCCAGCCCCGTCCAACCTGGCCTTGAACCCTTCTAGGGAAGGGGCAGCCACAGCTTCTCTGGGCAACCTGTGCCAGTGCCTCACCACCCTCACAGTCAAGAACTTGCTCCTTATATCTAATCTAAATCTATCTTCTTTTGTTTAAATCCATTACCCCGTGTCCTATCACTACACGCCCTTGTAAAAAGTCCCTCTCCAGCCTTACTGTAGGCCCCCTTTAAATACTGGAAGGCCACTATAAGGCCTTCCTGAAGCCTTCTCTTCCCCAGGCTGAACAACCCCAACTCTCTCAGACTGTCATCACATCACGTGGTCTCATCTGGACTCACTCGAGCAGGTCCAAGTCCTTCTTATGTTGAGAACCCCTAGAGCTGCACGCAGCACTCCGGGTGAGATCTTACAAGATCAGAGTAGAGGGGGAGAATCACACTTCTCTTAGTGAAACCCAGGATACAGTTGTCTTTCTAGGCTGTGAGTGCACACTGCTGGCTCACAGTCAATCTTCCATCCACTAATACCCCCAAGTCCTTCTCTGCAGGCCTGCTCTCAATCCACTCAACACCCAACCTGTATTTGTGCTTGGGATTGCCTCAGCCCATGTGCAGGACCTTTATACTTGGCCTTGTGGAACTTCATAAGGTTTGCACAGACCCACCTATCAAGCCTGCCAAAGTCCCTCTGGATGGCATAAAAGCATGGGTGGAGTAAAAGCATGAGCCCAAGAAATAGGAATTGACACTTATGTTTTTCACAGCACAAAGAACACTGTACCAACCTGCACATGAAGCAGTCAGGCATCTGCAAGATGCCTCCATACCAGCTGTATGCCTGTGTCAGAGCAGTCCCAGGCACTGGAGCAGAGTTGTATTTTCAGATAAAATGTGATTTTGTCATGAATCAACAGTTAGCAGGGGCTGGAGCCCATTGCCCCTGAGCAGCTTGTGCAAAGCTGTCCTGTTTGGGCTGTTAATAGGTTACAATAGCATGTGTGTGAGCAGACTGTGCCACTTGGGCTCAGGACCAGTGCACCAACCTGATGCTTGTTAGCTTACTCTTATAAATGTACTGAAAACATACCAAGAAACATTTTATGTAGTCCTGACTCAAGCATCTTATTTATGCAGAGGAGTGAGGTTTTAGATTAAAATTTCTTCAGCATTTTGTATTTGTTAGCTTTAGTTGAGTGTCTAGTTCAGTGTCGCTACTTAGATGAGATGGCCAACACTGCACAGGCATGGGATATAGAGCATTAGGAGATCAAGTCTGCATAAGCCGGTACCTGAGTGTCTGATGTTGCACCACAGGTTCCCTATTCATTGTAGTGAAAAGAGAGGGGAAGGGATGCTGTAACCTCACACCAACAGCTTTAGTTTAAAAAGATCTTGCCTGAGCACTTCTGCCAATATGTGGTAGGTTTATTTACAAAAAAATACAATAATAAAACCTATAACAACAAAAACTCAGAAAAAAAGCATTTTTTTTGTCTACAATAAATTTTACTTTCCCCTGACACATGCAGAAATAAAGCTGTACAACCGACATGTGAAACTAACTGCATTCACAGAAGTGCCCTTACATACATGATGACTGAAATGTTAAAAGATTTCAACAATTTTTATGTGGTAATTTTGCATTTCTATGAAAAGCTTATTTCTCAGAGCTCACACATTCTGCTTAAATAGCTGACTAGAATGTTCTAGTAGCCACTGTCATTAGATGTGTAATTTCTTATTACATAGATTATTCAAAAATACCCTCAAAGAGTAGCCATTTTGCAGTTTTCCGTATTTAATTGTGATGATGACAGCAGACATAACAATAGAGTCTTTTCTGAGATTTAATTTGGTAGTCAATCAAAGACAGTTTTGATGGCCTTACATTTTTAATCTTGAAGCAGTTGCACAGTTTTACATTAGAAAGCATAATTATTATGAAAGCTGAAGAAAGCTGAGTACTTGCTTAGGGGTCAGTTAGCATTTTATCATCTGTCTGTCATAGTCTGAATGTGTGTAATGAAGAGATTGTCAGCTAATGATCAGAAGCAGACTAGTTAAAACAGCTGTACAAAAATGTGTGTGTGTATTCTTCAGATATTTTGCTGAGAGTTAACAGGAAACTTAGTGCCCTTTGGAGCACCTTTCAAACCATCTGCACACATCAGTGGACCACCACCACCTTAGTTCATTAGTGGTCTCTGTTTTTCTCTTTTCTGTGCTTTTCTCACAAGAAAAAAACCTAGCTTTTAACAACAGGAAGCACAGAAATCTGTAACGAGTGTCAAATACTGTGATTTGGTAGGTTAAAAATATGAAAAATGTCCCCATCTTTTTGGAATTCCTACCTTCCACCCCCACAAGGAGGAGTAACTTGTTCTTTGTGTAGCTGACATTTGCCAAGAAATGGTACAAGAAAGGAAATGTTGAGATTCATCTTAGAAAACATCTGTTTATTCTTCATCTATTTAATGTAGAGATGCTAAAGTCCTGTTCACCCTGCTTCAACTCTGTTTATGTCCTTTTCCACAGTACTCTCCATTTGCTAGTAAATTCCAGAGTCCTTGTATTTGGTAGGAAAATACTAAACTCCAGGATAGATTATGTCCTTTTATAGCCTTATTTTTTTGTAATCGCTCCTCAGTTTAGCATCACGGCCAATCATTTCTCTGACCCGTCTGAAGTGCCATAGACATCTGAGCCTCTTTGCCTTCTCAGGCAACTAAACAAGCTCCTGGAGTGTTCCTGTGAAAGCCGAAGCTGACCTTAGGAAGGAGGTAAACTATAGACCTGGAACAGGGGCAAGATAGGATAAGAGGACAGGATTTTACCTTTGCACACTAATAAACTGTTGCCTTGGTTCTTCTCAGCTCATGGAGCCATTCTGCCCTTCCTCCTCACACATCAGATCTCCCCCATATCCAACAGTCTCACAACAAGAAGAATCAGTACTAGAAAAATGCTCTCTTTCCCTTTATGAAGAGACTACAACACCATCCACCATCTTACTTTCTCCCCAGTGTGCCTTCCTCATCTCTTGGAAATGCAAAAATACTGCAAAAGCCACAAGTGCAGTCTTTGCTACTCAGAAAGAGTTGGAAGAGTCATCCTTGCATTTATTTGGAGCTGTAAGAAGGCAGGAAAGCTTTTTGAGCTGTAAAAATCCTCTGCTTCAGGTGAAAAGTGATGGGTGAGGATTCCCTGTGTCACAGCTTGGGTATCAAAGCTGCAGTAAACCTCAAATATTAAGTCTCACAGATATGGCCAGACGTTCATTGGTGCTGCTTTTTCTTCTAAGTGCATTGATTTCATCTCCTTTCCTCTTTTGGTTTACACCATTAATTTTGTGAACAATCATAAATTTAGTGAAATGCTACAAAGACTTTTCAGTTGCAGTGTCAAATTAAGAAAGTTTTGGGTTTGCTCCTGGTGGTTATTTAAGTCCGTATGATTTCTGGCTTTAACACTATATCAAAGACTTTCCATGTGGTTTCACTTAAGCCATTTAGACAATGAGAGAAATAGAAAAAAAAAATTTAGGAAGTTGGCTCTATGGTTGGTAGTAAGATTTCATTACCAGGAATTTAAACCACACTTTAACCTTGGTGTAACAAGACAAAATCACCTTCAAGCAAGGTACTTGCTGCACACCAGAACCAAGGAATCTTAGTGGTTCATGTAAAACATACCTTATGCTATGCTGGCTTTCATGGTGATGAAGGTATAAGATGCAATGAAACCTTTCCCCCCTCTTGGAGATTTATAAAGGCTTACTCCCATATGGATCCTGTTATGTGTAATCAGATATGAGGGCACTCTACAGCCTTTCCTTTAGTAGAGGTACTTATAGGATTTCTCACTTCTTCCAATGGCCAATTCAAGAAAATAAACAGAAAAATGTTATCTCTAAAGCCTCAATTCCTATTTGAAATCTGATTGAAATAGGC